GAGCCTAGTTTGCAACTCTTGACTCCTGATTCCTGAGTGCTCCTTCTCTGACACCAGAATTTTCCAGAAGGTCTCTGAAAGAGGTCAAGAAATAAGCAGCTCTGATCCAACTATTAAAAAATCAGCTTCAGGCCAGGCTCAGTGGCTCATGCCTTTAATCCCAGCACTCTGGAAGGCTGAGGTGGGCAGATCACTTGAGCTCAGCAGTTCAAGACCAGCCTGGCCAACTTGGTGAAACTCTGTCTCTATTAGAAATACAAAAACTAGCTGGGCATGGTGGCACATGCCTGTAATCCCAGCATGCGCCACCACATCCAGAGTTCCGAGAATCGCTTGAACCCAGGAGACAGAGGTTGTAGTGAGCTGAGATCATGCCACTACACTCCAGCCTGGGCAACAGAGCGAGACTCTGTATTTTTTGTTTTAATAAGCTTCAAAATTGTAATAGGTGAATAGTCAATGTGGCTGTTTGCAGGTAAACACACCAACATGTCATTTCATTTAGCATGATCCTAAGGGCCATGCCTCATAGAGAGCCATCCTCATACTTTTCTGTTTCCCCCCCGTCTGCTCCCCTGAGAAATGAAACCACTTCCTGGCCTCAGAGCAACGCCTTGAGGTTGCCATGGTAAGACATATGTGCAGTAGTGTCTCACCAATCCTGAAATCACCTCTCTAGCTGATGGTCAAGGACAGCGAAGTGAAAAAGACCCCCAAACAGCCACTGTAGACCTCACAACGTCCGGGTTCCAAAGTTCATGCCAAGCAGTCACAGAAAGGCCTTTCAGACTCATTTGGATTCTTTTCATCCTTGCTTCACCAACAGCTCTAACAGACTTACCCTTCTGAATTTTTGTTGTTGTTATTATCACTACTTTTTTTTTAGTCCCTGGAATATTGGAAGCAGGCAACAAATTAGAAAAAAAAGATACTGAACTGCTAGTGATAGGCATACTGGGAATCAAAAAAAGGATGGTTAGCTGAAAGACACAGGACAGCAACAAAAGCACAAATAGGAATCCCAGAAGCATGGAAATCTGGAGTCATTTTAGTATAGAGATAAATAGCCATGTACATTTCAGTAGACCTGAAGGTATCACAATGTTCCTGAGTCATCAAACATAATTTCTATAAAAGGAGTCCTTCCATCCATCTTTCATCCCAAGAATAATGGCACAGCCTCATCCAGTTCATAGGATTTTTACTCCTATAAGTCCAGTAAGTTGTTTTCAATATCAAGAATGAGATTCTCCCTAGGGAATCTAGCCTGTGTTGGCTCTTCCTCTTCACATGCACTGCAGACATTCAGAGGCAATGGACAGAAGCTCTCTGCATTCCCACTCCCTTAGCAGAAAAGAATATGACTGTAAATTAGCATAAAGATTCTTCACAGACAAGGCACAGAAACAGTGTATGCAGAATATTGGAGGAATGTCCAAAACACTTGAGCACGAACTGTTTCCAAGCTCCCATAAGCAGCTGAGCTGCTTCTATTTATCTACAAATAACCAACATGCTCCAGATAATCTTTCTTCCTTATTTATTAAAGGAGGCCCAAAGAGCCCCTCTAGGCCACTGGTGACTGATTACACCAATGGGTGGATAGATGGTAAATAAATAAACCTGGTGACATAGCTGGAGTTATTTGAAAATAACAGATCACTTTCGTTAAATACAGCCCTACAGCCCTATACAGACTTTCACTGATTTATACATTCCCCCCCAAGAAATCTGCACCAGCGAGACCTGTGTTCATATTTATGTTTCAGATCATTTTAGCTGCTTATATTTTAAGATGACATCCAATATTTAGATGAAAAGTCAAGAACCCATCATGTTGAAGCATTTGAGTATCCAGATGGTTGGCATCAGTAGATATAAGCCTTGTGTATCCATTCATTGAACAAATATTTATTAAGTGTCTGCTCCACGCCTGGCTCTCTGCTAGGCCCTAAAGATCCCAAACTGAGTAAGACTGATGACTCAGTCAACTTCACAAAACCAAATCATCTTGAAGCTTCTGCTTCAAGCAAACTATAGCAACTATAGGAAGAAAGCAACTATAACCTGTGCCGTGCCTGCCACTGTTTTAGACACCTTTATATAATATCTCTTTTTGTTTCATGACAAATCTCCAAAAGTCAACCCTTAAACAGATGAAGAAACATACTCAGAGAGGTCAGATAAGTTGTTTAAGCCACACATCTAGCAAGGGTCACAGCAAGAACTGGAGCCCATTTCTTCGCACAGCCCGTTAGAGTGGCCTGTGGTGGAAGGCAGAAAGCAGACTACACTGACTCTGGCCCCTGCTGCTTGCATCTCTTAAAAAAAAAAAAAAAAAAAAAAAAAAGGCAAGCTCTTCTGAGCCTCAGTTTCTCCATCTAGCCACTGGGATCACATGCCTCTCTCAGACGCTAGTTGTGAAAATCAAAAGAAATCATATATGTGGGGGCTTCTGACTTTGGATCCAACATGCATTAGGTGCCCAGCAAATGTTTATTACATGGATGGAGAGGATCTTCAAAACCTTCCTCCACTCTCACCTCCCACCCGCAGTGGTCCTCTACACCAGCATCTGCTGACAGCAGCATCACCACACACTTCCAGAATTAGGCAGCTCACGACTTCCTGAAGCACCCTGTTTTAGAATTGAAAGGCCTCACTCACCTGGCCTCGTGTACCAAGTGTGCAGAGGACAGGAGAAGACACAGGCCACCCCTGGAAGGTGACAGTGTAGCTCTGGGGACAGTCTGGCCATTCTTGAAATATTAAAAAGCATTAAGGGGGCCGAGCATGGTGGCTCACACCTGTAATCCCAGCACTTTGGGAGGCCAAGGCGGACAAATCACCTGAGGTCAGGAGTTCGAGACCAGCCTGACCAACATGGTGACACCCTGTCTCTACTGAAAATACAAAAATTAGCCAGGTATGATGGTGGATGCCTGAAGTCCCAGCTACTCAGAAGGCTGAGGTAGGAGAATCACTTGAACCCAGAAGGTGGAGGTTGCAGTGAGCTGAGATTGTGCTACTGCATTCCAGCCTGGGCTACAGAGTGAGACTTCGTCTTAAAAAATAAAAATAAAAAAAAAAAAAAAGCAAGCATTAGAGAACTTTCCAAGATGCATCATCTTCAAGAACACGAATGGGAGGCAGTGGAGGCGTGGCATCTCCTCCTTGGGATGCAGAAGCTGAGCCAGCCCCCAGGCCAAACAAGGGTGGCCAAGCCTCTCCTTGGATCCTGGTACTCACGGAACTAACTCTTCGTTTCCTTCATCTCACTTCTCTCTCCTGCTCAGTCACCTTTCGAGCTATTGTCCCATGTAATTTCTCAGCCAGCTAGGTATCCCAGCCTTGTGAGACACCAGTCTTGCTCTAATGTTTGGAATGTGAACCATCATGAAAAAGTAAGAATGATTAAAAAGGAGATTTTGTAACTATCCATCAGTGTCAGAGGGAGCAAAATCCTTCACATTCTACTACTCTAGCTGGATATCCCTAAAGGGTAGGTGTTTAAGCTCTTGAATCTGGCTTTTCTTTTACTTTTGAGACAGGTTCTTGCTCTGTCACCCAAACTGGAGGGGGCAAGGGCATGATCACGGCTCACTGCAGCCCCAAAATCCTAGGCTCAAGTGATCCTCCCACCTCAGCCTCCCAAGTAGATGGGATTACAGATATGCACCACCATGCTTGCTTTTTTTTTTTTTTAAATATATAAAAACAGAGTCTCACTATGTTGCCCAGGCTGGTCTCGAACTCCTGGCCTCAAGTAATCCTCCCGCCTTGGACTCCCAAAGTGCTGGTATTACAGGCATGAGCCACATGCCCAGCCTGAACCTGGCCTTTTAGATTACCTCCCAGCTCTATTGCTTCTAACTGGTAAACCTAGGCAAGTTATTTAACCCCTTTAAGCCTTGATTTTTCTCAACGGTAAAATAGTTCCTCCCATAAAGGACTGCAATAAAGAAAAGAGGTCAGCAATCTGTGGTTATGGGGCCAAATCTGGTTCACCATCTATTTTTGTGAAGACCTATGAGCTAAGAATGGTTTTTACATTTTAAATGATTGAAAAAAATCAAGAAAATATTTTGTGACACAGAAAAGGATATGACATTCAAATGTCAGGGTCATAAAGTTTAATTGGAATATAGCCACACACATTTGTTTACATGTTACCTGTGATTGCTTTTCTGCTACTACAGCAAAGTTGAATTGTTGTAACCAAGATGTTATAGCCCACAAAGCCTAAAATATTTACTGTCTGGCTCTTTATAGAAAATGTTTGCCAACTTCTGGTAAAGAGAAAATGAAGGAATGCCTAGATGTGCCTATAATAGAGCAAAAACCTTTAAAATGTCAGCTCTCATTTTCTTTTATTAATATCTAGCTCCTGTCCAGCCATGATATTTATGCCGCTCTGTATTTGCATCAGGATAATTTTTTAGATCATTACAAAATATGCATCCTCCTACAGAACACATGGGAATACCTAGTGCCTAAATGGCATTGCTAACGCAGAATGCACTGACCTGACCTCACAGAAAGGCGATGGAACAGAGGTCCCATCCTTCCAAATGTCATCCACTGGTTTTATCCTTATTGAAATAGACAGCACACGGATCTGGAATGGAAGCAAATAACAACCAGGTCTCCAGATTCCATCATATCACAGAACATGGAACCAAGAAAGTACCTCAGAAGTTATCTGATCCAGGCCGGGCACAGTGGCCCACACCTGTAATCCCAGCACTTTGGGAGGCCGAGGCGGGTGGATCACCTGAGGTCGGGAGTTCAAGACCAGCCTGACCAACATGGAGAAACCCAGTCTCTACTAAAAATACAAAAATTAGCCAGGCATGGTGTCGCATGCCTGTAATCCCAGCTACTCGAGAGGCTGAGGCAGGAGAATGGCTTGAATCCGGGTGGCGGAGGTTGCGGTGAGCTGAGATAGTGCCATTGCACTCCAGCCTGGGCAAAAAGAGCGAAACTCCGTCTCAAAAAAAAAAAAAAAAAGAAGTTATCTGATCCAGTCACCCCTGTTTACCAATGAGGAATCTAGACCCAGATGAAGTTAAAGGACTTACCCAAGAGTACCCAACAACTCTCTGGCCACCCCCAGGCTCCCATCTTTGTGTCTTTCCTGTGTGGGCTGTTCCCTGAAATTCTTCCTGATAGGCACATTGCCTTTCCCTTTGATTTTAAATTCTTGGCTCACATGACATGCCCGGACTATATCGTGTAATGTGACCTTGAAAAATAATTTACGTACAAGTCTTGAAAGCAAATCAAGTTTTAAAACAAAGTAGCACCTACTCTGTCGCAGCCTTGACATCTATTACAAAGTAAATGCTGGCTCTTTAATTTCCCTAATCAAGGCTGTTCCTATTTAGCCAGCCTCCTCAAGGGGTCCCAGCACCAGCCCCACTCCAACGCCTGATGAAGCTCCAGAACAGGTGAGAAAAATGAGAGGGTCCTGCCCAGGGCTCTGGGAGTCGGCCCTCACTGCCTGCCCTTCAGACAGCAAGACAGAAAAGGCATTCATTTTCTTCCTCCACGTCATGATACCAACCGAAATTACCTTTAAATGAGGAAGAAGGTCATTATTTAATCAATAGGATTGCGTCAATTGAGGAAAATTTGTCTCCAGTGTAAACAAGCGGAACGTCTTTGCGCTCTATGAAAACAAGGTTAAATTACTTGCAGATCCAGGCGACGTGGAGAGATGTAGGAAGTGAACCTGCAGCCTGACACATTCAAGGTCTGGGAACCGAAAATAATAGGAATTGTTCTTATTTTTCCAGTGGAATCGAGCACAGAGATGGGCACGCCTCTTTACAGAACCAAAGATTCAGAACCGTGCCTTACCCTTTGCTTATGAGGCGGAGGAGGAGGTAGAGGAGGAAGAGAAAGAACCACCACAAAGAGAGATGGCAACAAAAGTAAAACAAAGGCTGGGCCAGCCGATCCCACTCAGGCTGACCACAGTGAGGGAGCAGGATTAAAATGAGAAATGATCAGGTTTCAGAAGCCCAGCCCTTCCTGCTGAATCTTGTCCTTTGCTTCATCCATTCCATTCAAGAAGTCATATTGAAAATAAATTATTAATACAATGGTAGCTCACATTATTGGGTCTCACTCCATGCCAAGCATGCCAAACCCAGGTCATGTGTGGTGCTACTCAATGTTCACAACAGCTCTAGAGGTGGGTGCCAGTCATGCCCACTTGGCAGATGCGGAGGAGGGCAGTCGCAGCTGGAGAATGGCGGGCAGTTCTGCCTGTTTCTGAGGCCCCACTGCTTGAACTGCCAGCCTCAGAGCCATCTGCTCGCTGGGTGCTCAGCCCCATGCTGCATGCTGTCGACTCACAGGGGAAGTACAAGCCAGGCCTACCCCTAGGGTATCCCCACATCCCTGGCAGAAGGGGACAGAGCATTTACTCCTGTTTAGGGAGAGGCTCAGCTCGTCTGGGAATCCCTGGATGAGCGGACTCTGTGCCTGCTCCTCTGCCGTACCCCTTCCCCATCCATGTCGGCTGCTTTGGCCACAGCACATAAAAATGGGTCCAGCAAGCCACAGTCTCTCCCAGAGGAGGCCCCAAAGATCTCTTGCCCACACCTCCTCGATCGCTGCTAGGATATAAGCTGGAGGCTGTCGGTGGTGAATGTGATCTCTTGTCACTCCACAGGCATCTGGTGAGGTCTAAGTTCCCTGCTTCCTGACAGAACTTCTTGGTGGGGATTTGGCTTCCAGGTTCTCCTCACCCCCTCAGGAGACTGGGCTAACACTGAGTGAGGTTTGCTGACACCCTCCATTCATTAACAACAGGACCAAAACCAAGTGAGTTTTAGCTCTGGCCTTTTGGACAGCCAGATTCCAACACTTTGGTGGTGAATCCTGACTAATGTTCCTGCCCCATCCCTCCTCCTCCCATCCCCCAACCCACCCTGCCCAGCTCCATTTCTGAAGTGTCCGAATGTAGAGTTCATAAGCTGCCTTCCATCCATGACCATGCTGCCCACATGGCCTCCACTGAGGATCAGGGCAACACAGTCACCACAGGAGTAGGCCCTCAGTTGCCCTAGCAGCGATCTGAGGAGTGTGGGCTTTGGGGCCTCCTCCGGGAAAATTGTGGCAGCACAGCCAAGACAGCAAGAGTGTGGCCCGGCCAAAAAAAAAAAAGAAGCTTTAAAAAAAAATTTTTTTTTTAATGAAATGAAACATATTTGACCTGGGAAGAAATAAAAGACCTTTCACGTTGTCAAAGTGACAAATTAGACAAAGAGGCCGAGCAAATGTGAGCTCCTGGGGAGTCCGTCAGAAGGAGCCCAGATGGAATGGACGAGGCTGGGGGTGACCGGAGGGAGGCAGACAGAGGATTTATCCGGGTCGGGTTGGGAGACCAGTCAGAAGGCTGCACAAAGCTACACACAGTCTCCCCTTTGTACTGGTATTTATCTAACTTGTCAATTTTACAGCCACATTACCTTCCGAGTGTTCAGGAAAGCAGATATTGGTGCTGTCAAGAGGCCTGGCTGTGGTTTGCACAGCATAATGACAGATGCAAAAAACAAAGGGGAGGGGAGAGGGGCCTTCAGAAACCACAAAAGAGCCTTTAGAATTATGCCTCCGCCTCCCTCCTCCCCTGAGAGCATGCCTTTCCCTCGCTGCAGTGGTGCTTGCTCCAGGGGTGCTCTCTCCCCCTGTATGCAGCTGTGCCGGGCAGCTGCGCTGGGCAGCTGCCTAGCACGCGTCTACCAGTCACCCCGCATGGACTTGAAGGGAGCTGTTACATGACTGCCTCTCTTCCCCAGGCTAAATAGCTACAGTCCTTTAACCTCTCTTCATGGGCCTGATTTTCCATCCCTTTAATCATCCCTGTCACTTTCGGCTGCAGCCTGTACTCACCACAGCCCTCCCCCAGAGTGGAGACGCAGCCAACGAGGATCATGGGCCCAAGGGCCTCCAAGAGCTGCTCCTTTCAGACTGCCCCCACCATGGGCCCACCCTGCAGCCACAGGTCCTGGGAAGCCTATGGTCATGGAGCCCCTACGGCTGAGTTACTGCAGCTCATGACCCAATTGGAGCTCTTCCCTCCCTGCTCTTGGATATTCCCCATGACCAGAAAGTCATTAAAATCCCACAGTCTCCTTCTGAGCTGATTCTTGCCATTTTTCTCTTCCTCTTCATCCTTAGTGCCTCACTCCTACACACTAGACTCCTGGACTATCATTTGGACCATGGAGCCAGCCCCCCAGCCAGCTTCCCTGCCACCATTTTCCCCTCCAAGACACTTAAAGGCCAACTTTGGAAATATTTTTTTAAATTGAATGTCATTTTTATCAAGTCCTTCCCCCTACTCAAGAGCCTTTAGTGGCTCCCTATTTCTTCTTGTTATAGCAGATATACATAACTCAGCAGATTCTGAAAATACTCTCACCACTCCCCCAACCCCTCTTCTGCCTATGTCCAGATCTACACTCAAAAAAAGCCTTCCCTAGTTAATCTCCTCCCCTCTCTGTCCACCCCTTTACCCATCCCCACAGTTTATTGGATACTGTTTTGGGTGTCTCGACATATTGGGTTAGGGTTCTTTGACGGCAAGCAACAGAAACTAACCCTGACTAGTTTAAGGAACAGAAAGGGATAGATTGGAAACGAATGGCATAGTTTGGAGAATTAAAAGCAAGCCTGAACTACAGTCCTGGAAAAGACAGAACTGGACAGCTCTGAAGATCTTCTGGAATATTGTCATCAAATGATCAGCTCCAACTGCCTTCTCTCCTCATTTCTCTCTCCTTAAGATTCAGAATTTCAGGACTGAACATCAACAAGCCCCGTGATCAGGGAGCAGCGTCCTGTGATTGGCTGCCCTATCAAAACCACTCACGGTGTGGGAAGGTTGCAACATTTAGCAAATAAAAATACAGGATGTCCAGCTAAATTGAATTCCAGATAAACAGTGAATAATTGCTTATATAAGCATATCCCAGGCAATATTTCCTGATTTGTCTTCTCATTCTTCCCTTCCCTCAGTCCCACTTTGTTGCTCCCAGGTGGGTCAGCACACCTCAGACCTGTACCTGTACCCGCTGTGACTGTACCTCACTGTTAACGAATCTCTTCAGTCTTTTCAAAGTGACTGTGAATTTTATTTCTTCCTCTTTAATTTTAATAACCAAGCTTCCATTGACTGGAAACTATACATTAACTGACACAAATAAAAGGGTACACATGCCCTTTGGCAACCTTTCTTGTTTATTTTCTCTTTAGCCCCATTGGAGAAAAAAAACCAACTTTCTCTGTCTTCTCTCTTTTGCCAAATACTTACAAAACAGCCCTAATAACCTTGCATTTGCATAACTTGTTAGATCTTAATGTACACTTTCACACTCGTTTCATTCAGTGTCTTAACTCCTCAGTGAGTTAAGTGGTTAGCGGGCACACGTAACATAGTGCCCCATTTTACAGATGAGAAATTCAGATGTTGAAAGGTGGGTTACAAAAACTAGTATGCATCCAAAGTTGTGCATCCAGGACTTGGAACAATGTGTCCTTTCCTCTTTTCTGTAAAGGGCCAGATAGTAAATATTTCAGGCTTTGTATGCCAGATGGTTTCTGTTGCAACTCCTCAACTCTGCCATTGCAACACAAAAGCGGCCATAGGTAATACATAAATGAATAGATGGATGTTCCAATAAACTGCATTTATAGAAACAGGCCAACGGGCCATATCTGGCCCACGGGCTATACTTTGCAAGCTAACCCCTGCTTTACACCGCACAACAAACACTTTCCAATCTTTTTAAGTCTATCACAGTTTGCCTCCAATTGGGATGCCATAATTTTGACCCTCAATCAATTTTAGATGACTACTTTTTTCTCTCCTCTTTACCTCTTACGCATCAGGATTGTTGGGACAGTGACCAACTTGGCTTCCCACACCCACTTGGTCCTTCCTACACTGTGGCAAAGTTTTCTCTCATACGTGTGAATGTGCTCAGCTAAGGCCATTCTTCCTCCCCTGGGTCCTTCTTTACCCCCACATGAGATCAGTACCAACAGACCTTGTGGGGAGGCAACTTTCTGGGATGGGTCATCTTCTGAGGCTCCCAGGATTAACCAGGATACCCAGAATTAACCATTAAACAGGATTAACCATCATCCTTCCCTCTTTCCTTTACTCTGGGCTTCGCGTGCTTCCTCTCTTGGGCCTTTTCCATGGCAAGTTTGTCCCCAGGAAACTCATGCCTGGAATGGTAGCTCTACGACCTGATCTTTCTGTGGCCCATGGAAGATGGGGACTGGGTTCAGTTTCTTCTTTAACCTACAGAGTGAAAAGACTGGTTCAAGTGCCCTCCCTAAGAAGGGCAGGAGCTCCTTGAAGGCAAACTAGTTTAGTTTATACCTGTCACTGTTTATAAACAGGATCTATAGATCCTGAGCTATAATGAGGGCTGGAGGCTGTACGTGGACAGCAGCCTCCTGGGCAAAGAGTCCAGCTGCTTAGATGACTGGGCTTACAAATCCTCAGACATGCTGACTGGCCACCTGGAACCTGAATTCTACATTTTGGGAGCCAGTGGGCCATGACTGATGCCTCACAAAGGGGATGCCAGGTTTTTAAGTGGGCTTCACAGGTACATATGTCCATGTGCACACTGGAGTGTAAAGGCAAGAGACCGTAGAGATCAAGCTGCCCAAATCCTTCATTTACAAATAAAGAAACCAAAGCCCAGTGATATCACCTCGGTTTTCCATGATGCCAAGAGGTAAAAATCCATATTATCTTTATAAATAGTACCCACAAAGATGATGATAAACTTGATCAATGAAACCGATATTTATAACTATAAAGCTTTCTTTGGATTTTTTGGGGTTTTTTTTGGTTTTTTGTTTGTTTTTTTGAGAAGGAGTCTTGCTCTGTTGCCCATGCTGGAGT